TATACAGGAAAGGCGCCTGACATAGCCCATAATACGATGGCTCATAACTCTTTCCGTTATTCTCCGATCGGCATGCTGTAGTTTTCAGTGAGAAGCAAGGACTGATCTGGAAGTCGAGGTTATTGAATGTATTCCCTTTGAATCCAAAACAGAAGTTCATCAAAAGGACGAGGTTTTTCAGAAATGGATAAATTTCAAAAGGATGGTGAAAGCAGAAGGCAGCCAGTGAAGAGCAGTGGATGAAGAGGATCTAATGCTTGGAGTGAGGTGCTTGATGTAAAAGTTGGATTCAATGCAGTAGATCTCATTGCATTTGCAGTCCAGAGCAACTTCCTCACATAAGGGTATTCCTATCGAACTTTATTTCCAGCCATGTGTCCAGTTAAAGGCAAGACTCGAGCCTAAACATTGAGGTAATTCTACTCAGATGTGATGTAGGGGCGGGAGGTGGACCACCAGTGGAGAAAAGAGGAAAAAATTGTGAAATACGCAGGAAATACGAGCCTTTTGCTCTACGCTGCGGAGAAGTTCAAAAGGCCGGCAGGGAGATGAGAGATAATGTGAGCGCGGAGAGCGGTAGAGAAGTCCGAGAAGAGAGAGCATAGCAGATCAGCATTGCGACGCAGACAAAATATCGAGCGGTGGGCGGAGCGTGTCGCAACAGGTGGAGCGTGTCAAAGTCCTTGGCCCCTAGCGCCTTAGTGACGCATTTCGATGCGGGAACTTGGCGAGTCGCCTGCAGTTGCGTCCCATGCGCTTCTAGCCACTTTAAGGGCTTCATTAGGTGGGTCTGAGCCCGAACTTTGCCTTTAAGCGACGCTGGAAGATCAAAAAATTTTGTTGGCTCTGAGCTTTCCTGATTGTGTTGTAAGTTAGTTTTTAGAACTGGTTTGTCCGCGAAACTCGACGGTTAACCGCTGTCTCGTCGAATTTGAACCCAGGAGTTTTCTTTTCACCGGCCACCGAAGCCTTATACAACTCCGATCCAAAATTTGATCCCCGGATTATGCGTTTGACAACCAGCGCCACTTGGCTTTGCACCACTTCTGCCTGGTTACGAAATAACCATAAAGGAAAAATTTGAACAATTTAAAACATCGACAACGGCCCGTTATGCGTGTATCTCGACTTTTCGGGAATTTTTTCTTCTCGAGATTGTCTACCCCTCTGATAATTCCATTAGTGGTAACAAGTAGACTTTTTGAAGATCCATTATGTATATTTTGATGCATGAAAACATGAAAGATGTCAAACCTAACAAAACGAGTCTCATCCGTGTGAAATGTCAAGCAGGTGCGAATCACGCTGCAGCCAGTGAGTTCAAAAGAGGATTCCTCGATAAGGACCAAAATTGAAGAAGAGAAACTTACCTAGTGAAAAGACAGACGGATCCCAAAAGTTTTGTTTGTTAACTGCTGTTTTTTTTGGCCGCAGTTCGCCTTGCGAATGTTTCACAAGAATGCTGGGTTGTGAACAAAACTTTCGCCCCAGCGGGACTCGAACCCGCACCTCTTGCTTAACGGGCAAGTGCGTTTGTTAACTACTGTTTTTGGCCGCAGTTCGCCTTGGGAGTTTCCAAAACAAACAAGCACTTGCCCGATAAGCAAGAGATGCGGGTTCGAGTCCCATCTGGGGCGAAAGTTTTGTTCACAACCCAGCATTCTTTGGAACCCATAGGGTTCTAACCGACATAAATTCGCATCTAGAGATATGCCCACTGTAATCTAGCATGGCCTTCTCCGCGATTGACGTGCTTGGCATGGTACGCCCCTCTCGCTGTTTGACGCTCTAGCCGTTTAGCAGATAAGGCGCTTACGTTGGAGAGGGTAGTACCGATGAGAATCGCATCAATGCGGAAATCAACGAGCAAAAAGGGTCCAATTTTCGGGTTCTAGGCCGTTTTTCTTGTTTTTCTTCTTTCGTGCATCACTGACCATCTCTAACTTCCTTTCCAGTGGTGCCTTTTCATCGTAAAATCCGCTTTAAAGGCAAAAGTCGGGCTCAATAAGGGGGTATTATGGCGATTGAAACTGAGTATAGAGATGCGAAGTGGAACGACAGTGGAGAAAAAACTGAGAAAAACCGTCGACAAGGCCGTTAACAAAACCCTCTTTCCCACTAGCAGTGAAGGAGGCTGGAAAGAGGCAAGTGACAAACAAGTTTTCTGGAGATGTCAGTCGTTCTATCGGTTGATTAGGCGATCAACCTAGCTGATTTTACACGTTTTGCCAGCCACGCACCACATCCCAAGGTGGGCGATCGTAGATTGAACCAGGCCAGGCCGTGATTGAAGAAGCCGTGCGACGGAGCCTTAATCGGAATTTTTCAAGCTGGGAATTTGCTTCATGTGTTTACAGTATCCGCTCACACAACCTTTGCAGGCAACAGAATATTACTTCTAAGCGTGGCCTGAGCGCTTTGGCCGTTTAAGGAAGCATATCAAAGAAATAGTAGAATGTATGGGTAGGTAAATTTATAGGACGTCCCAGGTATCCGATTTTTCTCTAAAAGGTTAGGCTTCGGAGTGGAACGCCGAAGGGCTTGGAACACTTAAGTCGAACTGACTCTGCAGTAATAAGGAAGCCTTTTGAAGCCTTCTCTGTAAACGTCTCCGTGCGCTTCTATGTATACAAGGTTCACTAAAGAGTTAGTGAGTAATGCCTAAGAAGGCAGAGCAGTGATTTCGAATGATCAAGAGCGAGAAATCCTTGTGAGCTTGATCTTGATGAACGACGTATGAGGAAGTCTAACTCTCCGGGCTGTATGCTGCAATTATTTGCCAATATGACGACGAAAAAACACAGCTAATTGCTCCCAATTACAGAGCAACACACATCATGTGTTCTTCTAGGTTTCCTCTAGGAAAAACATTTTCGCTGTGCGATGAACCAAAGGTTGTGTGCTATGGAACGCTAAATATCTGGCAAAGAGTCTTTGTGAGAGACATTCTAGGAAAAAACGATTGGATGTCTTCTGGGTCCTACTCTTTGAGCCTATTTCTTCGTTTCATCCGTTATTCAATAAAAGGGGAAAGAACGTAACACACCCTCTCGGTGAAGGGAGAGCTGCTAGTGCGGCGCTGTTGGAGCACCGGATCAGAGCCTTCCACGAAGGTTTTAATGCTCGCAAGTGATGAATGAGCGACATGTATGATCAAATGGTCGACTTCCTTGTCAGTCCAAAACCAACAAGCCGATTAACATATACCATCTCTCAGGTGATGTGCTTACTTACCTTTTCTAACATTTCCTCCTGGATTCCTGGATTGTGACCTTCACATAATTTTTTTGGGTGGTTCGCCATTCCCACATGCTTCTCTTAGGCGGAAGTGGTGTAGTGGCAAGTGGCACGCTTACCACGCGAGCGGTCCGGGGATCAAATCCTGGGTCGTGAGTCGCCCGGGCCAACCAAGCCTTCCATCCGGGGTCGGTTAATTGGTACCAGACTTGTCTGGGAGGATAAAAACACTGACTTGTACATCGGCTGGCCCCCGCAAGTCATTGTATAGGCCACATCGCATTCAAACGCCACTACGAATGTACAAATGGAAGTAGAATGCGTGCCCAGCAATGGTGTGATTATTGGAGAAGGACTCCAGGATAAGAACGAATATTGAAGAAGGGGAAACCCATCTATTGGAGATAGGTGGACCTCCTAACGCTGCGGACCAAACCAAATTCACATCAAGGGACATGCCCCGGCGATCTAGCATGGCCTTCCTCGCGGCCCAATTGACGCCCTATTGGTCCGGTACGCCCTCGCGTCGTCTCGTGTCTGAGTCTCTAGCCGTTCAGCAGAGAGAGCGTTAGCGTTGAAGAGGGCAGCACCGATGAGAGTCGCATCAATGCGCAAATCAACGGGCAAGGAAGGGGTCCATTTCTCGGGTTCTGGGCCGTTTTTCTCGGTTTTCCTTCTTTCGTGCATCACTGACCATCCCTAACTTAGTTTTC